ATTGCTTTCACACAGATATGCACTCAGTTCCTTTCCCATGCTCAGCGACTCTTGAATGATTTCTGTGAAAGAACAGAAGTTATGCTTAGAAAATCAAGTCCAGTCATGCACGAATAAAAGCAAAGTAAACAGTAACCAACACCATGACTTCATCAAACAAAGTAAATATTGAAATTATTTTAGATTCATTTCATAATTCATTTTAGATTCTCCATGTTCAATCACTTACTGCTTGCTCTTAAGGACTACTGACCTTGTGTGACCTTATTATTATTTTTAATTAGTTAATCATTTGTTTATGCATGTATTTAATTATTAATTATTTAATTAGTTTATTATTTAGTAAGTTAATTTTAAAAAGTAAGTTCATTTGCCATATGGCATGGTTGTACTTTCTCAAACTACTATTTTTCAATTCAGTCACAATGCATTCTCCCATCTCCGGGGTGCAGGTCCGACAGCTTTGTACCCTGGTTTCTCCCTCTCTAGACCTACGAGGACGCCATTGTGCATTGCTCCTCATCACTGCCAGCAATGTTCATTATGACGGCCCTCCTTTCCCATCGTTAACCTGCCTGCAGGGCACTGATCGAAGGGACATTGTGGCGCTGATCCAAGGTGGGACGGTCACTCCATGGCACCTTCTAGTACAAATTGCTTATCTAAAACCCTCTCTCTTGGCACTAATAGCCTTGCAACTTTCCCTATTAGACCCGTGGCCTGCAGCAGTGCATTTGTCCAGATGATTATAATGCGAGCACTCAACCTTCCCTTAAACTCTTCTGCGTGTTCTGAGTTTAAGAATGGTATCAGCTCTGTGAGAGCAGGCTGAAGTAATGCACAGTCGCCAATACTATTAATCTCTTCCCCCTACAGGGCGAGGTTCATTAAGAAGCTATTGCCATAATAGCTAAAGGGCACACACTAGTTTAACCAACCAAAGGCAGGGCAGCCGGAGCCAGATCGATCCATCAGGTGCCACCGGGAGGATCCAGAAGCCCACAGCAGTTGTTTTGCAGGACCAGAGGACGACAGAGACCTGCAGGGGCAAAAGACCTGAAGCCTCATCTCTTCTGGAGGGTCCAGAGCTTACAATGGTGCCACAGTGAGGGAACGGGGAGGGAAAATACATGTCAGGCAAATTGCGAAGAATTAATCCGGTAATGCGAATGCCTCTGTGACAAATGTCTGCAGCAGACCTGACTGGTGTAAGTAATTGTACTCAAATGAACATGTCAGGCTATTTGGAAAACATAGCTGGAGCTGCTATCAGTTCAACGTGATTGCAGTGAGAAGATGGAATAATGCTGTAGGACAAATGAGTTCAGTGGTCATTACAATTGTAATGTGTCACCCCTACCTTAATGGCAAGTAATGACCTTCTTGAATTATACTGTATGCAGAATATTTAATATCTTGCGATTTATACACAACAGCCCTGTGGCTCACATTTCAGACACTTAATATTGTAGTAAACTTAATATAATTTTTTTTTAGGCAACATTGAAAGATCAGACTTTTAAAGACATTTGGGATAAACTGAAGCAGCGAGCCAGGAACCATCACGTAACATCAGTGCCTGACCTCACCGATGTCTCATTTCATTTTAAAAGCATGACCATGTTCCATAAAAGGCATTTAAAAGAGTTCCAAACACAAAATACAAATACATAGCCCATATTAAATATAGTGACACGCCAATAATACCAAACCTTATCGGTCCTTGTGTAATGACATCATAATGTTATGTTGTTATGTTATGTTATGTTATGTTATGTTATGTTATGTTATGTTATGTTATATGTTATGTTAAAGTCAGATGACATGCATTAACCAAAGAGGTTTCAGCTGCATTCAACATTTGCATACTTACTGTATGTCAAAAGAGCAATATGTCCAAATTCGCAGTATTTATTAAACAGTAGGCAAAAAGTTCCCAGGTGACCTAGAACTTATGGTGCATTGCACTGTACTATCCCACGTGGCCACAGGAAAGGTTTTATGAAGTGAAGCGAGAGAACTGATGCTGGTCGGTCACATGACAAATGAAGAATTTAAGGATTAAATTTATACTACACACATTCATACTATATAGAATGCATTTTTAGCACTTTTAAAATAATTACTTACTCAAAAGAAGTATGTACTTTCACAGTTTATTTTAAGGTTCAATTCTCACTATTACAGTTACAACCCATTAACTACGACTTTTGCCTCAATAAACTCCTAATTTGATGTTTATTAATAGTTAGTAAGGTAGATGTTAGCTTAGGTGTTAGGTAAGATTAGGGATGTAGAATATGGTCATGCAGAATATGTGCTTTAAAAGCACTAATATATAGCCAATATGTTAATAATAGGCATGCGAATAAGCAGCTAGTTAATAGTGAGAATTGGTCCCTATAAAAAAGTGCTACTGTACGCACTTAGAGAATATACATTTTCCCATACAGCCTTCATGTAATGGATGTGTCTCTGTATTTAATTTGGGCTCTGTATACAGTTGATCAACACGTTATCAATGATTTGATTTAATTTGAGTGAAAAAAGGGGGTTGATGCATGGATTTCTTTAACAATGAAGTTAACAATTTAGCTAAAGTTTGGGAGTAAGGCCATGCCTCAACCAATCAGATTATTCTGTCTACGCATTTACTGTATACTGATCCAAACTTCACAGCTCTGTTTGTTTCAGGTTCTCGACCCTACCCTCCCCTTCCTTCCTAAACTCATCCCTTCAAGATTTACATTTACAGGTAAACTATAATTTGTTGAACTATTTCTCCTTTTGCTATACCAGTTTCTTCTGGGAAGGCTTTCCACTAGAAGTAAGAAAATTTGATTTGTCCAAAGAAGTGTGATACTATCAAAGAAGTGTAATACTATGTCTCTATCAAACCATTGCAATACTGCTCTTTATATGAGCAACCCTGCACAGCAACATTGAATCAACCAATGAGTTTGAGGAAGTGTAATTAGTGTAAAAAATTTAAAAATTAAACATTTTCAGTTCTTTCCCACTAATTCCAGAGAAATCACATCAATTTCTAAACTTTCCCCAAACATGGTTTGCATGTTGTTTTAAATTTAGTTTACGGCCATGTAAAACATCAAACATCAAAAATATCATATAATTGTGTTTACTGATAACAATCTACTCTTTTATGTATTGTATTTGAATACTGGGTATTTTTAATTGAATGCTGTAAATAAGCAATATAACAGTAATGTCTTCAGTGACCCCTGTAGAGGAAAATCTTGTTATGAGCTAAATTTATATACTTACCGGTTACATGCAAAAGAGAGAAAAAAAGGGACAAAGCATAAAAAGCGCCAAGATGCTGCTGGACTGTAACTGATGTTGCTTCACATTACTCAACAGTTATGATGTCATACTTTCCTATTTGAGACAGGTAACATATAGGTCTACTGTTGATAAAGAATAAGAACATATATCATTACCAAATGTATATCCTTTACTAAAATCATCCTATCTGCTGGGAATAGAGAAAGAAAAATGAAATTAGCAGCAATTCAGTGAAAGTACTAAAGTTATTACTCTATTGTGCATTGTGTGTTAAGTATTTTCATATGTCGAACCCATTTTTTTGAGCGTATGTTTCACCTAAACTCTGACATCTACAAGAAACGAGGTATCATTCGCTGTGATTTAATCAAGCACCTTGTACTTTTGCTTGCTGTTATTCTGCAGGATGTTAACATTAGAAGTGATGAATGTTTCTAACATTTGCCTCAGCAAGATTAGCGGCGTCTCTTTCATCTGTGGAAATTATATTCTGAGAGCTGTTTTCGAGCAAGCAGTTCAAAATGTCTCGGCTTTGAAGCGAGCGCTTTGAAAGAGAATTCATTCTGCATCCTCAAGGTCTGAGGAGTATGTCTGTGACAGTGCTGTTAAAATGCTGAGAAAGCCTGATGATGAGCATGCTGGGGTTGGACATAAGTCAGCAAATTGTTTGTTTTAATATACTTGCATTTTAGTGATATTGTAATAAGATGTGGTTCTGTGTTTGTTAGTGGTGTTTCATAAGAAAAAATGAATGAAAATCAAAAATGAAATCTCTATAACATCTTAAATGTTTCTCCTAGACCTGGAATGAGGTTACATAAACATCAAATGGAGATTTTTGCTTTTGACTCCACCTGCTTCTCACATTTTCTCTTCAGGAAAATTGTCTCAAATTTCAGAAGAGAGCAGTGTTTTGATACACAATGATTTAGCAGATGATTTACATTTTAATGAAAGCAACATTGAATTTACAAAAGAAAACTTTGCATGTTAAACAATGAAAAAAAAGCACTGGTAGAGTTTGTTTTTGGATGAGCAAGGAGCCCACTAAACATTAGACGTCTGACGGACGTGCAGATTATGTCTATATTGCGTCCGTCGGTCCAAGACCAAATCTGCACGTCTACACGACGTGCAAACTAGGTCTGCTATTTGGACGTCTAACCAAGACCCCATTTGGACGTCAATATGCAGTTCAACATTTGAACGTCGGACTAGGTAACTTTTTTGGACGTCTAAGACATGTGCAGGAAATTGACATTATTAATGAATGTAATATTTATTTTATTTAAGACAAATATCAACATTGTTGTTATCAACATGGTTAATGAATATCAATAAACATTATTTGTTATTTCATTATTTATTTATTGAGAACATGTTTTACATTTTACTGTTTTTATCTCTTATTTACTTGTTTATTTTAATTGTCTCTGGACCGGTTTGTGTCATATCGTCTACGATTGTGTTTAACATGTTATCAAGGCAAATACAACACTGTTAGAAAATGAAGCATTCCAACTTTTGAGTTAGCCGAAAGCTAACATTGCAGCGGTGGAAATTGCGTTTGATAGGCAGCACGTCATCATGACCCAAGCAGTAAACGCCACTCTGATTGGCTGAGGCATCACGTCATCATGACCCAACCAGTAAACACCTCTCTGATTGGCTGAGGCAACAAGCATTCGGCGCGTACTGCTGAAGCAAGTGGCTGCTCGGCTCTGTTCAGCTTCCATCAAATCAAAGCGATCCAAAATCATCGTTTTCTACTCAGTTGAAGGTAAGTTCGGTCCGCTTAGTTAATTTGATGTATTTATAGTGTTAGCTGTTTTAATTAGCTTTGTTGTCTTAACTAACCTGCTGTGGCTAAGTTACAATTTGCATTGCATCTCTCAGTGATTAACAACACGACTGTACGTTATTCCCTTCCAAGATATACAATATAATCATATAACGTGTAGTTTCATCTGTAGTTTGAGAGTTCAAAGCACAACGCTACTGTATTCGCGTCCATCATAAAACGTTACACACTATAATCATGCATTATGTAGTTTCAAAACGAGTTATAATGTGTTTTAAAAATGACTGAATCTAATATTTGCCATATTCTGCAATTCCGTCTGCCTTTTCCGCGTCACGGACTTCAGTGTATATATAATCCACACCATCTCAATACTATTGAGTATTGTAAAGCTTTAGTTGGGTGTTTCTTTTGTCTTTCTGTCAGGTGGCGTGCGGTGTCTCCTTCATTTTGGACGTGGAGTGAGGTGTCCTGCCCTTTAGGAGCACCTAAACAAGGTCTTATGACCTCATCCTCCTTTTCTTTGCACTTGCCCCAGTCAAATAAACAGTACAAGTAAACTTAATTTGGGCTCACATCTGTGTTTACAGATGGCTTTAAGGATGAGAGAATGGCGAAAACGCCAAAGAGAACTCAATCAACTTCTATGTTATTCTGACAGCGATGATGAACATTGTGGCATTAAAAAAAAGTGTGAACGTGCGCCTGGGACTCCGAATAGTTGTAGCAGTGACAATGTGCCTGGGACCCCACATAGTTTCATCAGTGACACTGTTCCTGGGACATCAGATAGTTTTGACTTTGACACTGATGTGGACTATTGGTCTACTGACTCAGAAAAGGAACCAAATGATGAAGCTGAGGTGACCAGCAGCTTTGAAGCATTATTAATGAATGTAATATTTATTTTATTTAAGACAAATATCAACATTGTTGTTATCAACATGGTTAATGAATATCAATAAACATTATTTGTTATTTCATTATTTATTTATTGAGAACATGTTTTACATTTTACTGTTTTTATCTCTTATTTACTTGTTTATTTTAATTGTCTCCGGACCGGTTTGTGTCATATCGTCTCCGATTGTGTTTAACATGTTATCAAGGCAAATACAACACTGTAGGTTAGAAAATGAAGCATTCCAACTTTTGAGTTAGCCGAAAGCTAACATTGCAGCGGTGGAAATTGCGTTTGATAGGCAGCACGTCATCATGACCCAAGCAGTAAACGCCACTCTGATTGGCTGAGGCATCACGTCATCATGACCCAACCAGTAAACACCTCTCTGATTGGCTGAGGCAACAAGCATTCGGCGCGTACTGCTGAAGCAAGTGGCTGCTCGGCTCTGTTCAGCTTCCATCAAATCAAAGCGATCCAAAATCATCGTTTTCTACTCAGTTGAAGGTAAGTTCGGTCCGCTTAGTTAATTTGATGTATTTATAGTGTTAGCTGTTTTAATTAGCTTTGTTGTCTTAACTAACCTGCTGTGGCTAAGTTACAATTTGCATTGCATCTCTCAGTGATTAACAACACGACTGTACGTTATTCCCTTCCAAGATATACAATATAATCATATAACGTGTAGTTTCATCTGTAGTTTGAGAGTTCAAAGCACAACGCTACTGTATTCGCGTCCATCATAAAACGTTACACACTATAATCATGCATTATGTCGTTTCAAAACGATAATGTGTTTTAAAAATGACTGAATCTAATATTTGCCACAATCTGCAATTCCGTCTGCGTTTTCCGCATCACGGAAACCCTAATTCTGTTTGTTAACAGCAGGTGTTAATTCATCATCACTTCTTTATCTCAATTAACTTGAACACTGAACAGTGTTACTTGTTTAACACTGATCTTCAGTGTATATATAATGTAGATAACTTGACTACTTAAGTTTGTAAGGGAATTAATTATTATTAATTCATTCAGGTTTTGATAGGACTCGGGTCTGAATCCCCGAAGCTCACCTGATTAAACCGATTTCAAATTTGTTATGTTACACTTTAAATCAAGGGTCGTCCAGCGAGCCGTGACCTCAGTATATTTTAACAAATTGACTATGTATTCTCCTGGCCACGGATAAATACGTTCTTTGATAATTTGTAAGCTCTTAGAGAGGTAACGTTGATCTTGGCAAAAGTTTTGACCTGGAAATTATATGACACCAAACCAAAAATTCTTTATAAATGAAACATGAATTTTATTGGCTACTCTAGAATACATCAAAACTACGCTAAAACACACATACACACACACAGATTATTAGAATGAGAGTTGACGAAGTTCTTATGAAGTTTCAAACTTCTAACACTCGTTTTCACGAGTGGTTTAAATTCACCTGAGAGAATTCACAAACAGAGAATTTTAGCTTATGTTTACTGCTTAAAGTAGCTCGACACCAGTTCAGCAGAGATAAGATTTTGTTCGTTTACTTGCGTTCTGCTTGGTTGACAGCTGAAAAGCTGAGATGAACCCCGGAGCTTTCGGATTGGTCGCTGAGGTGACGTTTGGATGAGGACTGTGTCCACAAAGTCCTTGACAGGCATGTTTCTACATACAGTATGAATTGTGTGTGTGATGTTAGGGTGGTTTTCAATGTCTGAGATTTTTTTTTCTGGGTGTCGACCTGACTGCATGTGTTCATTTGCCTTTTTCTTGCTTAACCCTTGTGTACCCCTTGGTACATTTTTTTTTGTTTGTTTTGCATTTTCCAATTAAAAATACTCAATTACAAGTTCACAACATTCACAGCATTATGAGTTTATAGACCAGCTGTTATTGACAAGGAGATTTGTTGTAGAGGGATAAAAGGAGGGGACGTAGTATAAAGGGTTTATGAGATGCGTAATGTTATTCCTACATATATCATTTACGTTGGATTTATAAATGCATTTATTTTTCTTTAGGCTCTTCACTAATGCCCTGATGGCGCAATTTAATATGAAGGGAAAGGGGGAAAAGGCCAAGAAATCTTTGGAGAAGACACAGGTTTATAGAGCAATGAAAGGTAAGCCCATATTTCATGTTGACCAAGGAAAGATGATTAGCTCCTGCCAGTCTGTGAATAATGACTTGATTGGACAAAACATTTCCTTCCCAGTTGACATTTAAAATTCACTGCTAACTGTCTACCATGGCAATTTTAACATTTGGTGAGGTGGTTTTGTATTAATCCAGTATTGGTAGTGGATGCATAGTAAACATATTTTTGCTTACAAATATGGGGACTTGGTGTATGACTGCAGAATGCCTTTGCATATTTCTAATCATTTGTCTTTTTCTACTTGTGCAGATGCAGTCATGAAATTTGATGACACAGCCACAGAGGACTTCATAAGGATGACCGCTTCAGAGCATCTGAAGCATGCACCGCAAAGAGGTGGAGGACACACAGCAGTCACTCGGGACTGATTATCCATTGTGGAGAATCTTTTATACATTGTCTTTCCTGTTTTTAGTATAGTTGCTTATGGTTCAACTTTACCACAAAACACATTCGGTTAAGCACTTACATTTTTATTGTTGTGCATTTGTTGTTGTGGTACAGACCGACGCAAGGTTGGCTGTGTAACTTTATTTATTTGAGTTTTTTTTGTATTTTACCACCAGTGTTGATTTTAGAAAGTTTTTAGGTTACGAACGTTTTTAGGTTACGATGCACCACATTGAAGTGATGTATGCAAGCCATTAAATTCATGTTCCTAAATTTGAATGGTAGTTGGCAGTAAATTTAACTAGTCAAAGCTTATTAGTGACGTTTGTGCCAGTTAAAAACAATAAAGATGGATCCTCACTGTGCATTAGGATGATATAGACACACGTCCTCTTCCAGCAGATTTGTAACATCTGTAGTTGATTGGAACCTCTTAATCATTGCCTCTTAATTCATTACTGATGGTGGAAATGGGGATTTTCAATGCCACTATTTTGTGAAGCTCAACAATCTTGTTCTGCCACATCAGAACTATATTCTTTGGTTTTACTCCTTGTCAAGTCAAGTCAAGTCATGTCATGTGTGGACATGCAGTGGAACAAAATGTAATGTCTCGCAGGACCACAGTGCTACATAAATAAACATAAATATAAACTTACAACACTAGACGTAAGAACAATTTTTTAACATATACAGTACATAACTAACTTACTGAAAGTGGTAATCTAACTATACATATACTACAAATAGTTGACTATACATATACATAACCTAAGACAGACTATACAAGTACTTTACATAATAACTGTGCATGATATTGTGCAAAAGAGGTATTTAAAGTTAAAGTCACAATGAAATCAAAATTGAAAATTCTTATTTTTTAATGGAATACCGTAGTGTTTATTATAAATAATTTTTCTGTGCATTATTTTTTTTTAATTCATGTGCCCTCATAATCTTTAATCAAAAACGTTAACCTCCCCTCCCCCTCCAAACGACTCCTCTACTCTTCCGGTCACGAGCTATGGCGCAAGGGCGGAGCTAGTGACGTGAGGGGTAAATGCTGGGATAAACGACAGAAAAGCTGAAGCTGATGCTTCACTTTATAGCACTGACACCAGTCATGAGGGAGTACTTTACCCCTAAACATTGAAAAGATATTAGGATATTACGACAACATTACTCTTAGGACATGGCAAACAAATTTTTTTCATGAATATGACTTAACCTGATGTCTCTCTCTCTCTCTCTCTCTCTCTCTCTCTCTCTCTCTCTGTTTATCCATTTCATGCCGACTTTAAGAAGCAAATAGTGCAATATGAATTGTGGTGCATTCACAAGTAAACATTTGTTAAGTTCTTATTAAGTTCTTGTAACATGGAGTGTTTATAAGAAGATCTCTGGTGCATTTAGAGAGAAAATAGTGTGTTTCTACAGGTGGTTTGGCCAGCCCACTCACCTGTGTGTAGCACACTCAGAATTGCACAATGTTTTTGAGGTTTTCAATGGTTTACATGGGGTGGGGGATGGGGGGGGTGAGATGATCTTGGATTCAGGAGGTAGGGTTGTGGATTAAGTTTCAGAGTGGGTTGAGGTGATTGGAATTGAGGGCTCTCACAGCCTGGGGGAAAAAGCTCAAGGAAAATGTCCAGAATGGGGGGGAGAGGGGCACCAATGATCTTTGCAGCTGGGTTCACTGTCTGCTGTAGGGTCTTGCGGTCAGCAGCACTGCAGTTCCCGAACCAGACAGGGATACAGCTGGTCAGCACACTCCCAATGGTGCCCCTGTAGTGACAGCAGCACTGCAGTTCCCGTACCAGACAGTGATACAGCTGGTCAGCACACTCTCAATGGTGCCCCTGTAGTGAGGATGGGAGGAGGAAGACTTGCTCTTTTAAGTCGGTGCAGGAAGTGGAACCACTGTTGCGCCTTCTTGGAGAGTGATGTAGTGTTGGTGGTCCAGGTGAGGTCTTCTGTTATGTGCACCAACAGGAATTTAGTGCTGCTGACTTTCTCCACAGTCGAGCTGTCGATGGTCAGTGGGGGGGTGGTCAACAGAGTTTCTCCTGAAGTCCATCACAACCTCCGTTGTCTTACTCACATTGAGGGACAGCTGTTATGTGCACTCCAAGGAATTTTGTGCTGCTGACTCTCTCCACAATCAAGCTGTTGATGGTCAGTGGGGGGTGGTCAACAGAGTTCCTCCTGAAGTTCATCACAACCTCCGTTGTCTTACATTGAGGGACAGGTTGTTTGCACCACACCATTCAACCAGTTGTGCCACTTCCTCTCTGTAGGGTGTTTCATCATTGTTGCTGATGAGACCTACCACAGTTGTGTCATCAGCAAACTTGATGATGTGGTTGGAGCTGAACTTGGCAGTGCAGTCGTGGTTAAGCA